TCCCTGTGAGAGATTTGCACCCGGATGTCTCAGCTGATTCCTTTCCCATCAGGGCCCATCCACTCCAGCTGCCTGAGCCTGAGGGTCTCTATGAACAAGGGGTGCCACCCCTCTCTTGCCCCCCCTCCTAATGTCCACAACTGACCGAGGCAGAGAAGAGCAGAGAAGATGGGTGCCATGGCTCCGCTCTGCAAATGGAGGAAGCCTGCGCCTGCAGAAGATAGTCTCACAGGATGTGATGACTTATAGGATGTTGCAACCCTTTGGGGTTACCACACCCCACAGCCAGGGAAGGGCCCCGCCCTGAGCCTGGCTCTGCATATTCGCAGAATGAGGGCTCACGGGGAGCCCAGGATTCAGGAGGCTGGTCTGCAGTGCCTGAGGTCTCACCAGTTCCTCAGGTCTCATGAGTCTGTGCCTCTGGCTCCTGCTCAGAGAGGGCGAGACCCATGTTCTTGTCCTGACTCGGCCCCTGAGAGTCTGGCTCTCAACAGCCCAATGGGACACCCGACCACAGCTCTTGAGGGAGCTCATTTATGAAAGAGTCGGCTGAGCAGTTTCCCAGTGGCCTCAGCATTTCCACGACTTTCCCTGGTTCAAGGGTCCTGGTAGGTTCCCATCCCTGCCAAGCCTTCATGTTTCCTGCCTTTTTAGTGTTCATTATTCAGTGTAGGTATTGGTACTACCTTATGGTTTGATGCATATTTATTTCTTCAATGACTTATAAAGCTCAGCACCTTTTATTAAAAAATTGTTTGGTTACTCCTCTCCTGAGGATATCATTTCCAATAATTTTTAGAGAGGATGGAAGGGAGAGAGGAAAGGAGAGAGAGAGAGAAAGATTAGTGTGAGAGAGACACATCAATAGGTTGCATCCCACATGAAACATGGGATCAAACCTGCATCCAAGGCACATGCCCTTGACCCAGAAGCAAACCTGTGACCCTTCGGTGGTCAGGCTGATGCTCTAACCACTTAGAACACCAGCCAAGGCCAGCTCTCACCTTTACATAATGTCACTGCACATAAGCATGTCAGTATCCCTTGCTTGTTAACGTTTTTTGCTTGCTTTTCCATTGCTCTCTGCTGCCACATAACAACTTGTACATGTGTCCTAATGACCTGGATGCCAGTCCAAGGTCTCAATTCAGCACAGCAAATATCGTCCTCACTGTCTCGCTGTGTCTACAGGAACAGAAGTTCTTCATGTTAGTGGATTCCACTGTGTCCTTGTCCACCCTACCTTTGTGTTCTTGTGTCCACATCGAGAAAAAAAATGTCTCCCATAAGCTAGTAAGATAGTTCCCCCTTCCCTTTTCCCCCCGAAAAAGGTAACTGCTTTGTTTTTCACCTTTTGATCTGTCGCCCATTTGACATTGCGGATTGCAAATGCTGTGAGGCAGGTAAAGCTTCTCTGTGTCCCACAGACTCACCGACTGGCCCAGCACCATGTGATGGAAAGACCGTGACCTCCCCACTGCACGACAGCGGTCTGTCACGATCCAGGTGACTCCACATGCGGGGTCTGACCCGGAGTCTTCCTTCTGCTCCTTTGGATGAGGCATCTCCACGTGTCAATTTCTCAAACCGCCACTGTCTCCATCTGCATTGAATGCCTAGTTTCATTTCCTCTGACTCTCAGTCAGGAAAAATTCTCACCATCTTGTGAGGAAGGCGTTGGTATTGCTGAGAAGTCAAGGGAGGAAGTGGCCTACTCAAGTGTCTTTCAACCACTCAGCTGGTAGCGCCACACCTGATACTGAATGTGCCTGTGTGCGTTACTGCCTTTGAGCAAGACTCTCAAGACCATCATTCTTGTCTTGTGAAGAGTCTCCACATTTTAAAGAGGGAAGTGACACCTAGCCTCAAAGTTGCTCTGAAGGGACAGCAATGACTTAGATGATTGGTGCCCAGGACATGAGAGATCCCATGCTCACAGAGACATAGAGTCAGGTGGAATCTGTGGAAGACATAGGACCTGCGTCCCAGGGCCAGGAAGAGGCACTGAGCTTCCTATGGGACCAGATGCATCTTGCAGAGCCCCAGGCTCCTCTCTCCCCACCCCTGGGCTCACTGTCCTGAGGGCTCCTAGTTGTCTCCAGTCACTAAGGCAGGGAGGGAGGTCACCTTCACACCCACAAGGAAGCCAGCACATCCACCACCTTCTTGGGCTCTGAGCCCCACACCCTCACTGCCCTCTCCAGTTTACCCGCCACATCTGCCCTTGGCCCTCCCTTTCAGATGCTGTTTATGCCTAAATCCCTCCCATGGACCTCACTGTCTTCAGAGTGAGTCCAGATTCTTCCTTCTGAACTCAAGGCAGTTCATTATCATCAGATGTGACCCTCCCACCTCAGCTCTCACCTCTGTTTCACTCAGACAGATGGGTATAGCTGCCCATGGACACACATACACACACACACACACACACACACTCACACATATACACACACTCACACACATACTCAAACATACATGTACATTCATATACACTCACACACATACACACATATACACTTACACTCATATACCTATACACTTACACACACATAAGCATACACACTTAAGCACTCTTACATACATACATACACTCACACATACACACTCACTTTCATATGCTAACATAGGCTCACACACTCATGTCTGCATACTCTTACACACATATATTCATGCATACACACATACACACTCTCATTACTAGTCACACAACTCTCACAGACATATATGCTCACAAGCATGCACACTCAGACACACACACATATACACTCACACACGTGTACACAGTCACACTAAAATAGCAACACACACATATATACTCAAACACTACACACTCACACGTATCCACCAACTGATACATGCATAGGCCCATAAAAACTCAAATACACACAAGACACACACTCATATCCTAAAACAAACACACACACACACACACACACACACACCACTCTCAAACATTCAAATACATTCATACATCCCACCCACTTATACACTCACACACACTCACACATACATACACATGCACACAAACATACTTTCACACACAGGAGTGTGCCATTGGCTGTGCCAAGGTTGGTGGCCCCAAGAGGAACAGGAGGCCTGGGGGATGTCACAACACTGTCAATCACCACAGAGGCAACCAGCACACTCCTCCTGGCCTGGGTGTGTGCTGCTGCTTCTCCCTATCACTTCCTCCTTCTGACTTCCTTGTTTTGTGAGCAGAGATCCTGCTCTCCTTCAAACCTTTGGAGTCCTTTCTGCCTCCTCACCACCTCTTGTCCCCCAGACTGTCTCTCTCTCTAATGCTGTTTATTCCATCTCCATGCTTTGGGTAGAAGAGTGTGTGGGACACAATTCCCAGGTTGTAGTCTAACACCTGGGGACTCATTTATTGAGCATGTATTTTGTTTCTGGATGTGTGTGTGTGTGTGTGTGTGTGTGTGTGTGTGTGTGTGTGTTTGTGTGTGTGTGGGTTTTTGGTTTTTTTTGAACATCTATTTTGAACCAGTCCCTTCTCTTCCTCTTTGCGTGTTGGGCAAATTGAGAAACCTCACTTCTGAGGATTGTTATGAGGCTTGGCAGTGCCTGAGACACAAAGAGCCCCATTTTGATGTCATTCTTTTTCTCTTTTTAAAATAAATATTTATTTTATTGATTTCAGAGAGGAAGGGAAAGGGCAAATAAGAGATGAAAACATCAATGATGAGAGAGAATCATTGATCATGTGTCTCCTGCAAGCCCCACACAGGGGATGGAGCCCAGAACCCAGGCATGTGCCCTGACCTGGAATCCAAGCATGACCTCCTGGTTCATAGGTCAACACTCAATTACTGAGCATTGGAAGCCGGAAATCTGGTGTCATTTTCTGACCTGTTGAAGGCATTTTTATGGGAGATGTGTGGTGGGAGGGCTGTGTGAAAGCTGCATGTGTATCCCCCAAGCCTACAAGGTAAATCTGAAGCAGTAGTGCATGCTTGGTTGAATGGCAGATGAGTGCAAACAAAAGGATGCAGGATGATGGGCTTCATCCTGGATAATAGACTGAGCCCAAGTCAGGAGTGAAGGTGGACATTTCATCAGCAGCTTGGTCCCTAAGCACTAAGGCATGTAGGACACCACTGACCTGGTGGGAGTCCTGCTTCCATAAAACTCCACAGACACCAGTGGGGCAACCTCCAATGTATAGGGAGCTACAGGGAACCATGTCTGTTTCACTTGCATTTATTTTTATTGAAGCAACAGCTACATAACATACAATTAAGCCTTTTAAAATAGAAAACTCACTAGAATGCGGTAAATAGACAATGTCCCTATGACAATGTCTACCTTGTTTCAAGAGTTTTTTAAATCCTCACCCCCCCAAAAAAAACAAAACAAAACAAAACAACAACAACAACAACAACAATACCAAACAGTCCATCACCCATCTGTCCTCCTGCTCAACCCCAGACAAACCCATCAGATTTCTGTTTCTATGGGTTTCCTTCTCCTGGACATTTTGCATAAAGGGAATCACACAAAACCTGATTCCAGTTTGTGTCCGGTTTCTGTCACGGAGCTGCATTGTTATGATGTTTTCCCAGTATGAACCAAGTAGCCGTCCTTTGTTCTTTATTATAGAAAAAAAAAAATCCCCAAGGTTGGGAAGATCCCTCATTTTGTTGGAATGGATGTGACCCAGCATGAAGGGGACTTTGGATGAGAATCCAAACCAGCCATGTGGGACGGACCCTCATGTCACAGGGTGAGAACAGAAGGGCAGTGGAGGAGAGTTAGCGAGGTCAGGGAGGGAGGGAGACAACCTAGGTGGATGGAGGAGGCATCCTCTATACGGACATGGCCCATGCTCTCCTGCACCCAAGCCTCACCGACCACCTCTATTTTCCTGGACATTTTCAGCAGTTTCCTCAACAGTAGTCCACATTCTCCATCACCACCTCCTGGGGTCCTCAGATGGGCTCCCAGGTTCCCCCACTCTGAACGGTGCTTTGTTCCCTCTGTGTTCACATCCTGGCTGCTTGGAGGGCCATTTTGGTGTCATTTCGAGCCAGAAATAGCAGCACCCCGAGGACCACAAGGACCAAGCCAGCCACGCCCATCCGGATGAGATTCTCCACTGTGTAGTCTTGGGAATAGAAAATAAGAATTGTGGGTAATGAAGTCTCAGAGGTCAGGGCACACCCAAGTCTCCACGATGTTGGTGTTCAACCCAGGGCTCCCACCTCCCCTTCACATCAGCGTCCCTGTGATGTCTGAACTCAGCACCTGCTCTGAGTCACCTTGATAAAAGATAGCTGTGCCAAAGAGCTGAGAATGAGTGAAAAATTATCTCAGTTCGGAAAGAGCAAGAGCTGTGTTCTGTGTTCTATCTGAGGAGCAAGACCTCATGAGCTTGTTCCACTAAAGCTGAGAGATTCCCTGTTCTCAACAGCTGGGGATCCAGGGTCCATAGAGGAGGGGTTGGTGTCAGGGGCTCCTGAATCTCAGGAGCATGAAGGGGTGAAAGTCTGGGCTGGGTCTACTTCATCTCACCATGCCCAGGCCCCTCCTCTTGTGGGTCTGCTATTTTCATCTTCACCTGAAGTTGTTCATCTATTGATTCTTTTATTACCTTACTTTATTTTGTAATAACAAATACCTACAGTGGTAGATTTATTTTCCAGATGAAAAAATATTGGTATGTGGATGCTACTCATGTGATTTTTTTTTTTTTAACTCAACTGACATCAAAGCCAAAACTGATTTGGCTCAGTGGTAGAGCGTCGGTCTGCGGACTGAAAGGTCCCAGGTTCGATTCCGGTCAAGGGCATGTATAATACATTGCTTGCATGCACATCCCCGTTAGGGATGTGCAGGAGACTGCTGGTCAATGTTTTTATCTCATCCAAGTTTCTGGCTCTCTATCTCTCTCCCTTCCTCTCTGTAAAAAATCAATAAAATATATATTTTAAAAAATGACATCTAAGATCAAAACCAAGGAAGTCCACACTTTGGTCCTAATTTAAGTCACACAGAAAAATGTCCTAATTTCAATATTTACTTAACACCAAAAGGAGGAAATTAGGTCAATCTCTTACCCCATTTTTTATATAAATCCCATGATGTCAACAGAAATTATGGACCTCTCCTCATTACAGTGACCCACGCAATGATGCTAAAGGTCAGCTCCACAATTCAGAAAATCCACATGGACGATCCACATCACTCAGTTGGGTGAATATCCAAATGGGTGACATCAAGAAGCCTTTGTAATGGGTGACATGTGGTTAAAGGTCAGAGAAAAGGTAATTTTGGGGGGATGTGTGTCTGTCAGGAGAAGAGAGCCTTCGTAATAAACCCTAATGAAACAGAAGAATGGATAGGAACAAAGCAGTCATAGTGCGTTTAATATAAAATGCAAATTTGTAAGTGGAGTTGTCTTGACATCACTTTGGTGTGAATTAAGCTGTTTTACAGAAGACAAACTCTGGAACATTTTAATCCCTCATTTCATTGTGTTAGGTGTGGAGTGAGAAAAGTAGGTATGCCATTGAGAACAAAGTGATATTTCCTGGGCCTGGTGGGTATTATACTTTTCTCAGCCTGGTGGAGTGATCGACTGGAAAACAATCCACAGGGAGAGTCTTTGGGAGGCTAACAGGTCATGATATAAATATGCCAAAACCAAGAGCTTTCCTATGTGCACTTACTACCATTTAGAAAACCTACAGGAATCACACTGCTTACTCACAAATTACAATGTTAGGTGTGCAATTCTCTAGGTGGGCTGTGCATTTACTCAACTTATCAAATAGCTGTCACATGCTTCTAAGCTCATTTGAAAATGTGTGTTTATATAGTCTTTATATAAACAAGAAGTTATTCTTCATAACAATACTCTGGTATTAATCTACTCCCAATGAAAAGAGGAATAGAATGCTTATATTTCTATCTGGACTCCATATAATGTAAGTTAAATTGTAAGCTTTTGACTTCAGTATAACCTGAAGATTCTTGAAAAGGAGCCATAAAAGAGCCTTGTGCCCAGAAACCCTGAGCAGAGGGGAAGGCACAGGATCTTAGCAGGAACCCCAGGTCCCCTTGCACCCTGCCTGGTGCCTCCTGTGTCTCAGGTGAGCACTGAGGGCATGGAGGCCTCCAGGGGGCACAGGGCCTTGCAGAGTGGTGCCCACAGGTGGGAACACTTCTCCTGGAAGCAGGGTGTCCAGTGGGGATGGCACCATCACCCACAGCAGGTTCCACCTTGGCCAGCAAAGCCACATGTCCTGCTCTGAGAAGCTCAGTGCCCCACCTATGTGGTGAGGGCTTTCATCCAAGGGGCTCTGGAAATGAGCAGCCGAGGGAGTGTCCCCTGTCCTCTCTCCAGCTCTCCTGCCTTCGCCTCCCCCATCAGCCCAGCCATCGTCCCTGTGCCACAAGCCAGACCCGGGCAGCAAACCCTGCCAAATGGGCACCCTCTCCATCTCCCATTTCACACACTCACCACTGTAGTTAGGAATCAGGGACCAGACCACGTATGAAGGGCTGCTAGCTTTTAGGGGAAAACCCCACAGATTCTGTGTGAAACCAGGAGGAGCTGACATGCTAAGTGGGAGTTTCCAAATCTTTGGTGCCTCCGTAACATTGTGTGGCCCCTCTTGCTGAGCTGAGCCCCAGGCCTGGTGGATACTCAGTATACCTGCTGCCTGTCTCCCTCAGCTTTTCAGTCCCTACAAGGTCACAGTGACTGGGAGCAATGGGACAGGCCCAGACAGGGCTGCATCTGTAGCGGGTCTAGGACAAGCCAAGTGTCAGGTGCCCCAGGAAGTCAGGAATGAAAGCACCCCTACAGGTCATGGCAGGCAGCCCCCTGGTTCAGAGAGAAAAGGTTCTCAGACATCACCTCCCAGGAGAGCTGAGCCCACACACACTCAGCCCCATTTCCTGGGGTTCTGCCTGTGGGATGTCTCCCTAGGAGCAGTGATGCTCTGGTCTGAGGTGGAGCCACCAGAAGTCAGGGGGCGGGGCCTCTGTCTGGTCACTTCAGTCAAACCTCACTTCCTCTTGGCTTCACCTGAATAGTGCCACCTCTCTCCTCCCTCAGGCCTGGCTGACACTGCAGGGCAAGGCTGTCCCAGCGGAGGGAGGTCCCTGTCAGTGTCCACACTTTCACAGATGACCCTCCTCCCAGTGCTCCCACTACTTCCATCACATCTCAGACATTGCTGGGGGCAAAGACAGAGATCACCTTGGGGCTCAGAAAGGACAGGACAGAGCTGCTCACCTGGGACCAGGAGCTCCAGGGACTCACTGGGGATTGACAGCAGGAAGGGGGAAGTGGTGTCTGAGCTGTAGCACCTGTATTTGCCCCTGTGGGCTGAGGTCACAGAATTCATGGAGAAATTCGCCTGGAACTGCCCAGCTCGGTGCTCTGATCTCAGACGCAGGAGAGGTTCGGCTGCCCCCTCCTTGGACAGAAGGAACGTGTCCCTTTGGTGCCTTGACTGACACAGCAGGGTCACATTCACTCCTGAAGCCACCCTGGGGCCTGGCTGCACCAAGAGGGAGGGTCTCTCAGGCAGGCTTCCTAGAGAGAGGAAGGGAGGGAGAGTAAGGGCTGCCTGCCCACCTTGTTCTGACCTGAGAGTCACCAGGCCTCTATGTAAGGACCCTCTCTGTCTGTCTCTGTATCTCTGAGTCCCCACCCCATTCACCCCTCCCCCCCTCTCTGTCTCTCTTCCTCCCTGTGGCCATTCATTCTGGCCATACCACAGCCAGCAGGGCCTGTACAGAATCTGGGTCCCTGACTGAGCCCACTGGCTCCTCACCTGCCACAAGGATGTCCAGGGGGTCACTGGGGGCTGACCACTCAGAGGAGAGGTTGTATCCACCGTAGCATCTGTACCGGCCCCCGTGGGAGCCATTGGTAGTATCCAGGGAGAAGTGGGCCTGAGAGAGCCCAGCCCGGGGCTGCAGGACAAGGCTCTGGGGGAGGTCCCGTCCCCCCTCCTTGTGCAGAGCGAATCTGTCATAGCCGACATCAGAGCGACACTGGAGGGTCAGGCTCTGTCCAGAGGCCACGATGGGGCCCTGCTGGCTCACAAGGGAGGGCTTCCCAGACTCACCTGGGGAGGCCAGACATGAATTACAAGGGAACCTCCTCCCATAATCCCCTTCTCCTGGCCTGGCCCCCAGGTCTCACAGTGTCTCTCTGAGTTTTTACACCAGGAGTACTTGTAGCCGGCTCACTCTCTCACATCCGGCTCCCCTCACAACAAAGAAGCCAATAATGTGTCTGCTGCCTCAACCCATGGATGCGATAATAATGGGACTCACCTGAGACCAGCAGCTCCAGGACATCACTGGGGTGTGAGCACACCTGGGGTCTGTTCCTGTAGCAGCCATAGCATCTAAACATCCACCTGTGGCTAGGTGTCATAGGGCCCACAGGGAACATGGCCTGGGAATGCCCACTGGGCTGTCGCTGTGAGTCCCAGGTCCAGGAGAGCCTGTGATCTCCTTCCTTAGTCAAAAGGAACCTGTGATATCCCTGCCCTGAGCCACACTGGAGGGTCACGTTCTTTCCTGAGGGCACGAATGGGCTGGGCAGGGCTGAGAGGCTGGGTTTGCTGTAGGCTCCTAGGAGAGGAGGCAGAGTGTTAAATGGGCTCACACCTCCCTCATGTTCCCCAGGGCTGGGCTGTGAGAGGGAGACACCAAGAGAGCAGGCCCTCTTCCTGAGGGCAGAGCCTCAGGCTGAGACCCCTCTCACCTGTCACCACCAGCTCCAGGGGGTCACTGGGCTTTGACCAGCCAGTGGGACTATGATAGTAACAGTAATATCTCCCTGCATCATGCTGTGTCATGTGTGTGACGGAGAACTTGGCCTTGCCCACAGGCTTCTGTGGCTTCTGTGTTTTCCTTCGTTGTGGGCTTCCCTCTTTATCCAGAAGGTACTCCTCAGCTCCTGGGGTCCCCTGACACCAGATGGTCACAGGGTTCCCCCGGGGGATCACAGGGCCTGGCTCAGACCAGAGGGTCGGCTTGGGTTGAATCCCTGGAAGGAAGACCGTATCAGGGTCACAAAACATTCTCACTCTCAGTCATCAGCTCTCAGTCCCAGATGCCCCCCATCTGTCAGACCAGAACTATTCTCCTCTATCCCCAGATGTTGTACCCTTGGCCCCAGGGAGGAGAGGGACCTGGGACACCTGGGCAGACTCACCTGCCTGCACTGGGGTCCTGAGGCCCACACTCAGTCCTGCAAGAGGGTTCCTGTGAGAGATTTGCCCTGAACCCTGAGCAGCTCCCTCCTCCCCATTAGCCTCCTGAGTCCTGGGGTCCTGCACACCAGGACTCCCCTACCCCCCACCATCTCACCAAGACAGAGCACAGCCATGAGGATGGGGGTCATGGTGTCTCCTTGCTCTCCTCAGGGGTGTGCAGATGGAGATGATGATGCCCTCTGTAGAGACATAGAAGGTGTGGGCTCATGGGGACTGGCTCTTCCTCTCTGGTGGTTGTCATGTCAACACCCCACAGTCAAAGGCTCAGCCTCTCTCTAGCAGCCTGGCTGTCATTTCAACGGTGAAGCAGAAAATAGACCTGTAGTCTCCCTTCTGAAATGCCCCTGGCAGGTGAGGTGACCCGGGGCACGTCCTTCCCTGTCAGAGCCTCCCCCACCGTGTCTCCTTTCTCCTTGACCCATCCATCAGCAGCTCCCTGTGGTCCTCACCATGAACAGTGCCACCCGGGCTCCTGAGACTCTTCAGGAAGACATGTGTCCCTGTGGCCTGCAGAGCTCAGATCAGCAGGGAAATGCTCATCCTCTCTGTGTGCAACTAAAGCTGATTTCCCTGTGACAATGGGCACAGAGGGTAATGTGGGGAAATAAGGGAAGGAACCATGTCTCTTCTATGGCCCCAGAATGTAGCTTTCTCTCTATCACACCCCCTCCATGGACTTCTCCTTTTTCTTGCAATAGCATCCACCCAGTTTCATGGAAATAAGATATGACACATTCCTGCCTCCTCAGTGACTCTCCTTCTTTAAGCAGAGCTATCCCCTCTTCCTGTCCTTCTCTCTTCAGCTTTTGGGGGTCAATGAAGGGCCTAGTGCTCTGATGTTAGGAACAGAGATCATAATACTTAAATATTTCCCGGTCATTCATGGTCTGTTTGACCTTATGCAGAACTAGCCGATCTCTGCACTTCAGGTTCCTGGTGTGAAGCACGTAGGCATGAAGCCAAATTCTCAGAATGTTGTGGGATTGGTGATGTTTGCGATGTGGAAGGGATCAGCCCTTGATAATCTGCAGACCTGATTAAGGTATGTGGGATGAAACGCAAGATAACCAATGTGTCTCACTTCACAATCAAATTGAGGGGTGGGTGTGTCCACTCAAGAGCCCTCAGCTGTTCCTATTCTATCGCTAATATCTCTATTATCTGCACCATCAATGCAGAGGAAGTGAAATGTGAGTTCCCCAAACAGAGAGGTAACCACAACAAATAAAAAGGACCAGAGCAGTAGCCAGTGGTGACAACCACAAGTAGTTATCTGTTTGGAGTTCTCCACTTCCGTGTGGACAGGAGAGGGACCCCAGGACTGTCACCAGCAGGGAGCGGATCTGGAAGGTGATATTTGGGTTGCCCCACTTCTCATGCCTGAGAATTAGCAATGAGGCATCTCTATGCACTGACCCAGCCCAAGGTCAGCCGTGTGTGTGTGTGTGTGTGTGTGTGTGTGTGTGTGTGTGTGTGTGTAACAGATTCAATCCAGCCTAGTCCAACAGGAGCATCTGTCCAGGTGTGAGTGTGAGGCTCACATTTGGAGCCAGGCCTGCTGGGCGCATCACAGTCAACAGATGAGTTTAGGGCCACCAACCAGATCTGAAAGTGCATGGCTGACATGTATACATAAGGAACTATTTGACATTGAAATTGGGACTCAAAAGAACTGTTGGTACAGAAAGGAACTCACTATAGACTGATTCACTTGCCTCTCAGCATAACCATTATGGCTTTTCTCAGTTTAGATTCTTACAAGGATATTCCTTAGATCACAAGATCTCACACATCTAGAAGAATGATGAACAAAACAGACTGATGAACAAAAACAGACTCAGAGAAAGGGAAGCACTGAACAGACTTTCAAACCTCAGAGGGAAAGTAGGGGAGGGTGGGGGTAAAGGGGAAGAGATCAACCAAAGGACTTGTGTGCATGCATATGGGCCTGGCCAGTGACCATGGACAGTGGCGGGGGTGGAAGGGTGAGGGTATATGTAGAGAGGGGCTTGAAATGGGATTGGGGAGATGATGACAATTATGTGATACTATAATCAATAAAAAAAGGGGGGGGAATAAATAATAAATAAATAAATAAATAAATAAATAAATAAATAAATAAATAAAAGAGATGAGTTTGAGAGAGTGGATGCTGCAACTCTCCATCCCCTTCAGATTCCAGTATCAGTTAAGTCCTGGGAGAAACTCTCTGTGGAGAATCAAGTGTTATAGGAATCTCTTTCTCGACCCGCATGGAAAGAGTTCCAATTCAGTGTTCAGGTTCTGGAGAAGGGCCACACACAAATGAAAAGAGACTTGAGATTTGAAGAAATTCAATTTGGCAATATGGGGGGCCAGGCGGTAGTCCAACTCTAGTGGAAGAACTACCCCTGTTCTGGCCCTGCCATCCCTTTTATTAAGGCTTTGGGGAAACATCTTAGGCAACATAAATAGAAATTTACCTGTAGCCCTAAGGCAGGAAATAACAGAAACTTACACGAGACAAACAATGTGGAGGCTGCTTCAGCTAACAATGTCTCAACTAAAGGGTGAGTGGTTAAAGCAATTAAGGTTGTTGACCAGCCTTCCTGGCTTCCTGTCAACCTCTCTTTTTAGTGAAACTGACTTGTTTTCCAGCAAGGTGTGAGCATCTACAAGGAATAGATGCCAACAAGTACTCTGATTATGAAAAATAACACTAAGAAAGGCTGTCTACAGAGTCTTTGAGGCAGGTAATCACATGTGAGACAACAGAACACTAGAAACTCATTTTCATCAAAGATTGTTGAACTGTCCGAAATAGCGAAGGTGAAAATTGAATTATTGGAACAAACCCAGGGCTTATAGGATAAAAGTATAGAGAATTGTGAAAAAGCATTACTTAAATGTCATAGCAGTAAAAGGAATAAAAATAAAAACATGATTTCATTTAACATTCTCAAAATATTTTATTTCATCACCCAGGGGAAGATACAGCTGAAGATACAATAGCAAAATTGGAAGACAGCATTGAGGAAATCCTATATAATAAAAGGCTAATATGCAAAAAATTGTCCCCTCAACCTGGTGTTTGACCAAGTGGTGGGCACATGCCAGCCAACTTCTTGTGGCCCCTTCCCCTGGCTGGCCCTACCCCTAATCGTCCCTGATCAGCTCAGGGATGGGGCCTGGCTGCCAACCCCCTGGCTGCTACTCCTCAGCTGGCCCACCTGATCAGCCCCAATAAGGGCAGGATGGCTGTTTGCCACCTGTGCATGAATCCATGCACCAGGCCTCTAGGTTTGTAAAATGCAATACAGAGAGACTGGAATTGAACACTGCATGGCAGTAGAGAGTTCTGGTCTAGTTGGTTGTGTAAGTAAGCATAGTAACAGGAACTTCCCACAACAATATCAAATTACAGCTAAACTACAGAACATCCGTCATTCAGAACTGCCTGAAATCTATCCCAACAGAAGTTTAAAACTGAGTATATACAGAAGCCTCAAAGACACTGATAGACACGCGGGGAGGAAAATGGGCTGGTCCCATACCCATGTGTGGTGGTTAAAAATGGGGTGGCAGAGGGAGGCTTGGATATGAAGCTTCTCCCTCAGTTGTGAGGGATCCCAGATCAACATCAGAACCCCCAGCCTACGGTTACAGTGCTGGGGAGAGAAGTCCCCATGACTTTTGTTTGTAAAAACGTGAGATGATTATGGTTGAGTGGGAGAGAGGGTTTCTAGAGTCTCAGGTGTTCTTCTTAAAGGGCCTATGAACACATTTGCTGGGACTCCCTGCCCTGAAACACTCCAGGACCTACGTTTCAGCTTGAAAGGTACCAGGAACATACAGGGAGGGGTTAATTATAATCAGGATTGAAGCTGAAGGGCAGTTTCCTCCCAGACAGAAGCACTGGCAGCTGTAAGGGAATGGAAAGAGTAGAGACATGTGTTTGGTTTCAGGAGGAAAGAGGTGAGGATGACATTGGCTACAGACTTAGGGGACAGTGGGCGGCTACTCTTCAGAGAAGCAGAGAGAACACTCAGTGTCACGTGCATGAAAATACACATGGAACGTGTGTCTTCACAGTTCGTGTCAAGTGGATGAAATAGATGAGAACTGACTTTATTGTACACCAGCTCTTCTTTACAAATTAAAAGTGGCCAATGGATATGGTAAAAGTTCACTGAAGGCGAGAATTGTGAGTGTAGAATTTTATAAGCACCCAAATTATTATATTAAAGGGCAAAGGTAAAAAGGACCAGAAGGGAGAATTCTAAGAAAACTAGGAGACAGTGGTCAGGTCAGAAAGGGCCACAGTTCAAGGGCAGAAGGTCAAGACCTAGTCCCTGCACTTGAGTGATGACTGCTCCACCTGCAAGGAGCCATAGACAGGTCCCTCAGCATATGTCCCATGTGATCTTCCAGAACCTTCTGGGCACATGAGATTCATTCCCAAGGGTCCTCCTCTCTTGGCGGGCCTTGTTTCCTCTGTGTTCACATCCTGGCTGCATCCTGGGCCTGTTTCTCACTGTTTCGAGACCAAAATAGCAGCATCCCAAGTGCCACCAGGACCAATCCAGACACTCCCAACCGGATGGAATTCTCCAAGGTATAGTCTTGACCCTGGGAGGCTGGACATTGTGTGCAAAGAGGTCACAGAGATCAGTACAGGACAAACTCACCCAGGACCCAGGATATCCTCCAGGGCACCCTCTCCCAGCCTACATGCAACTGTCTTTGCTGAACCCCATTAACTGAGAGTGTCTCTTACTCACCACTCGTGGGATCTGAGTTGTTCTGTGAGGGGCTGATGGTGTCAGCTGCTCCTGAGAATCAGAAAGAAGTGGGGCTGTGTGAGGACTTGATGCCACTCAAGCCCAGAGACCCCATAACTGTCCCCTTTCTTGTGACCTAACTGCTACCAGTTCCACCAGGAACCCTTTGTCTGCTAGAGAAGGGTCAAGTCTGCTTTCATGGATTCTTCCTTGAGTCATGTTGGAGCTCAGATTAGCTTTGCCTCAAGAATTCAGGACTGTGGAGACATACAGTCTCTCATTGCAGGAAACAATGAGTTATTTCAATCTCTCTTCTCATTGTGGCATTCTGAGCCATGGAAGCTACCTCACTGGTTATAAGAACTTATATTTAAACAAAAGCTGAGAACCAAGTATCTATGGGTTGGTCTCAGACATACAGAGATGCATTTATATGTAGACCCTGAGCAATTTTTGAGCTAAAAGTGGGTTCAGTTTTATGAATACAATTGGTAAATGCATCTGAAGAAAAAAAAAATACACACCACCTTGGAAGCATCTTTTGTAAGGCATTTCCAGTAGAGTTACCTCTTCTAAGTCCTAAATGTTTGAACCTTATATTTATATGTGTAAGTAACTATTGCTTGAAAGCTCTCATAACAAAAGCAGTAATAGAGACGAATGTGCAAAATATGTCAGAGGTTATAATGCTAAGCGAAGTAAGTTAGTGACAGAAAGACAGGGTCAGAGGCCCTCACCTGAGACCAGGAGCCCCAGGGGCTCACTGGGGTATGACAGCAGATAGGGGGAGGTGCTGTCTGAGCTGTAGCACCTGTAGATGCCCCCATTGGCTGAGGTCACAGGACTCAAGGAGAACTCTGCCTGGTACTGCTGAGCGCGGTGCTCTGATCTCAGACGCAGGGGGGGAACGGCTGCCCCCTTCTTGGACAGAAGGAACGTGTCTCTCTGGCTCTGTGTCTGACACCGCAGGGTCACGTTCTCTCCTGAGGCCACCCTGGGGCCTGGCTGCACCGAGAGCGAGGGTCTGTCAGACAGCCATCCTAGAGTGAGAGAGGGAGAGAGGGTGAGGGCTGCCTGCCCACCTTGTTCTGACAAAAGAGTCAACCAGGCCTCTCTCTGAGGACCCTCCTCTCTGTGTCTCTGTTTCTCTGAGTCTCCCCCACTCCCCTCCTGCCCTGCCTTTCTGTCCCCCTTCCACCATGGGGCCTTCACTTTCCTTCTGACCTCACCACCTGAGACCCCCAGCAGGGCCTGTGCAGAGTCTGGGTAACTGAATGAGCCCACTGGTTCCTCACCTGCCACCAGGATGTTCAGGGGGTCGCTGGGGGCCGACCACTCAGAGAAGTTGTATCCCCCGTAGCATCTGTACTGGCCCCCGAGGGAGCTGCTCACATTGCCCAGGAGAAAGTGGGCCTGAGAGAGCCCAGACTGGGGCTGCAGGACAAGGCTCTGCAGGAGGTCCTGTCCCCCCTCCTTGTGCAGAGCGAATCTGTCATAGCCGACATCAGAGCGACACTGGAGGGCCAGGCTCTGTCCAAAGGCCATGATGGGGCCCTGCTGGCTCAGGAGGGAGGGCTTCCCAGCCTCACCTGGGGAGACCAGACATGAATGACAGGGGAACCTCCTCCCATAAACCCCTTCTCCTGGCCTGGATCCCAAGTCTCACTGTCTCAGTGTCTCTGGCCCACTTCACTCCACCTTCTCACATGGGGCTCCCTCACAGCAATGATGCCAACAACCTGGCTAATAGCTCAGTCATGGGTGGAGCAATAACTGGACTCACCTGGGACCAGGAGCTCCAGGGTGTCACTGGGATATGAGCACACGTGAGGTCTGTTCCTGTAGCAGCCATAGCATCTGAACATCTGCCTGTGGATGGGGGTCACGGGGCCCACCGAGAACAGGGCCTGGGACTGCTTACTGGGCTGTCGCTGTGAGCTCAGGGCCCAGGAGAGTCTGTGATCTCCTTCCTTAGTCAAAAGGAACCTGTCAAACCCTTGCTCTGAGCGACACTGGAGGGTCACGTTCCTTCCTGAGGGCACAACAGGGCTGGGCAGGGCTGAGAGGCTGGGTTTGCTGAAGGATCCTAGGAGAGGAGGAGGCAGGGTGTTAAATGGGACTCACACCTCTCTCATGTCCCCCAGGACCGGGCTGTGAGAGGGAGACACCCTGAGAGCAGACCCCCTTCCTGAGGGCAGAGCCTGAGGCTGGGACCCCTGAGTGTTCTCTCACCTGTGGTCACCACCAGCTCCAGAGGTTCACTGCGCTCCGACCAGACAGTGAGGCTGAGATAGTAACAGCGATATATCCCTACGTTATTATCTGTCATATATGTGATGGAGAACTTGGCCTTGTCTCCGGAGTCCAGTGGAATCTGTCTGTCGAAAGGAACTGGGCTTCCCACTTTATCCAGATGGTACTCCTCAGCCCCTGGGGTCCCCTGACACCAGAGGGTCATGGGGCTCCCCCAGGGGATCACAGGGCCTGGCTCAGCCCAGAGGGTGGGTTTGGGAACGGATCCTGGAGAAAATAAGAGGCTACATTACAAAGGTTTTCCCCACCCGCATCCTACAGCTCAACCCATCACACTCTTATTGTATTTCTTCCATCCTAGCCTCACCTCTCCTGGGCACAGGGCTCTGAGCTGACAGCTAGCAGACAGAGTTAAGGCCCCTCACCTGAAACCAGGAGCACCAGGAGCTCACTGGGTAGTGACAGCAGGAAGGGGGAGGAGCTGTCTGAGCTGTAGCACCTGTAGGTGCCTCCGTGGGCTGAGGTCACAGGACTCATGGAGAACTCTGCTCGAACTGCTGAGCTCAGTGCTCTGATCTCAGATGCAGGGGGTTGGGGGGGATTGGCTGGCCCTTCCTTGGACAGAGCAATGTGTCCCTCTGGCTCCATGACTGACACAGCAGGGTCACGTTCTCTCCTGAGACCACCCTGGGGCCTAGCTGCACTGAGAGGGAGGGTCTGTCAGGCAGGTGTTCTAGAGAGAGGGAAGAACGTGAGGGCTGCCTTCCCACCTTGTATCTTAAAATCTATCTCATAACTGTATAATATGCAAATTGGTCAGGATGCCCTTATCTAAGGACCAATCAGCCGGCTGTGTTCCTGCCCCTGTGCCTGCCCAAGATATGAAGCTCACATTCCAATACTAGTAATGGCCTGGGGCTTGAGGCTCATGTCCCTGACCCCTGGGCTGTCTCAGGAACTTGAGGATCATGTCCCCGCCCCTTCTCAGCTGTCCTACCTCTTTGGGGCAATCTATTAAGGAGCCTCAGATGGGTGGTTGGGGCTTACCTCTTTGCTGTGATGGATTGTGGGGCTCCAGCACTGTGATGGGGCACAGGCCAGGCTTGGGGAACCGCCCTCCCTGCCCCTCCTCGAGTGCACAAATTTTGTGCGCTGGCCCACTAATATATATATTAGTGGAAAGGAGAGGGACAGAGTGATAGAAACATCAATGATGACAAAGAAGATATAATCAGCTGTCTCAAGCATACCCCCTACCTGGGCATTGATCCTGCTACCTAGGCATGCAACCATACCTGGAATTCAATCATGACCTCCTGGTTCATAGGTCAAAGTTAAACCTATGAGCAATGCTGAGTGGGTTGCCTACCTTGATCTGATCTGAGAGTCATCATGCCTCTCTCTGAGGACCCTCCTCTCTGTCTGTCTCTGCTTTTCTGAGTTGCTTCCTCTCTCCCCAACCCTGTCTCTCTCCTAGCCTCACCACCTGAGACCCCCGCTCCCAGCAGTGCCTGTGCAGAGTCGAGATCCCTGACTGAACCACTGGCTCCTCACCAGCCACCAGGATGTCCAGAGATCACTGTGTCAAACACACAAAGAAAAGTTTGTTCCTATTCTAGCGTATGTTCCCACCCCCCTGTCAGCCTCCCAGAGTGTCAGGGGGAAGTGGGCCTGAGAGAGCCCAGCCTGGGGCTGCAGGACAAGGCTCTGGGGCAGTCCCGTCCTCCCTCCTTGTGCAGAGTGAATCTGTCATAGTCGACATCAGAGCAACACTGGAGGGCTGGGCTCTGTCCAGAGGCCACGAAGGGGCCCTGCTGGCTCAGGAGGGAGGGCTTCCTAGACTCACCAGGGGAGAGCAGATGTAAACTATTGGGAACCTCCTCCCACTAAACCATCACCTGACCTGTACCCCAGGTCTCACTGTCTCTCTGTGTCTCTGGCCTAAGAGCCCTTGTGATCTGCTAACCTCACTCTCTCACATGGGGCTCCACTCAAAGTAATGACCCTAATAACATCCCAGTTTGGTGCCTGAATGAATGGATGGATTCATAATGAGACTTACCTGAGACCTGGAGCTCATGGGGGTCACTGCTCTCTGACCAGCCATCAAGGCTGTAATAACAGGAATATATCCCAGCATCATTCTCTGTCAGGATTGTGATGCTGAATGTGCCCTGGTCCATTGGATCTAGTAGTTTTGCTCTGCATGGGGGCAATGTGCTTCTCTCTTTGTCAAACAGAAGTCCTGGGCCTCCACTGTCCCCTCCCACCAGAGGGTCACGTGCTCCCCCAGGACCCCACAGAGTCTGGTTTTGCCCAGTGGATTTGAGCAGGGTCTCTGGAAGTAAACTGAAGGCTGCATTACCAAGACCTTATCCACCTTCATGTCCTAGCTCAGTGCTAGAATCTCCTTTCCTCTCACCTCATCCCAGCACCTCTGTGCTCCCTCCTGAGCCCCAGGGATTAAGGAAGAAAAGGGACATGGAGCCTGGGGAGGACTCACCTGCCTGCACACAGGTCCTCTGGTTAAGACTCAGCCCTGGAAGAGAGTCCCTGTGAGATTTGCACCCGAATGTCTTAGCTGATTCCTTTCCCATCAGGGCCCATCCACTCCAGCTGCCTGAGCCTGAGGGTCTCTATGAACAAGGGGTGCCACCCCTCTCTTGCCCCCCCTCCTAATGTCCACAACTGACCGAGGCAGAGAAGAGCAGAGAAGATGGGTGCCATGGCTCCGCTCTGCAAATGGAGGAAGCCTGCGCCTGCAGAAGAGAGTCTCACAGGATGTGATGACTTACAGGATGTTGCAACCCTTTGGGGTTACCACACCCCACAGCCAGGGGAGGGCCCCGCTCTGAGCCTGGCTCTGCATCTTCCCAGAATGAGGGCTCACGAGGAGCCCAGGATTCAGGAGGCTGGGTAGCAGTGCCTGAGGTCTCACCAGTTCCTCAGGTCTCATGTGTCTGCCTGTCTGACTCCTGCTCAGAGAGGGCGGGACCCATGTTCTTGTCCTGACTCGGCCCCTGAGAGTCTGGCTCTCAACAGCCCAATGGGACACCCGGCCACAGCTCTTGAGGGAGCTCATTTATGAAAGACTCGGCTGAGCCAAAACCAGTTTGGCTCCGTGGTAGAGCGTCGGTCTGTGGACTGAAAGGTCCTGGGTTCGATTCCGGTCAAGGGCATGTACCTTGGTTGCAGGCACATCCTAGAGGCAGCTGGTCAATGTTACTCTCTCATCAATGTTTCTAGCTCTCTATCTCTCTCCCTTCCTCTCTGTAAAAATCAATAAAATATATTTTAAAAAAATAAAAATAAAAAAAAAAGACTCGGCTGAGCAGTTTCCCAGTGGCCTCAGCATTTCCACGACTTTCCCTGGTTCAAGGGTCCTGGTAGGTTCCCATCCCTGCCAAGCCTTCATGTTTCCTGCCTTTTTAATGTTCATTATTCAGTGTAGGTATTGGTACCACCTTGTGGTTTGATGCATATTTATTTCTCCATTGACTTATAAAGCTCAGCACCATTTATTAAAAATTTTTTTGGTTACTCCTCAACTGAGGATATTATTTCCAATGATTTTTAGACAGGATGGAAGGGAGAGAGGAAAGAAGAGAGAGAGAGAGAGAGAGAGAGAGAGAGAGAGAGAGAGAGAGAGAGAGAGAAACATTGATCTGAGAGAGACACATGAATAGGTTGCATCCCACATGAGGGCCGGGGATCAAACCTGCATCCAAAGTACATGCCCTTGACCCAGAAGCAAACCTGTGACCCTTAGGTGGTCAGGCTGATGCTCTAACCACTGAGAACACCAGCCATGGCCAGCTCTCACCTTTACATAATGTCACTGCACATAAGCATGTCAGTATCCCTTGCTTGTTAACGTTTTTTGCTTGCTTTTCCATTGCTCTCTGCTGCCACATAACAACTTGTACATGTGTCCTAATGACCTGGATGCCAGTCCAAGGTCTCAATTAGGCACAGCAAATATTGTCTTCACTGTCTCGCTGTGTCTATAGGAACAGAAGCTCTTCATGTTAATGGATTCCACTGTGTCCATGTCCCCACTAAGTTTGTGTTCTTGTGTCCACATCGAGAAAAAAAAATGTCACCCATAAGCTAGTAAGATCGTTCCCCCCTTCCTTTTTCCCAAAAGGTTTGTTTTTCACCTTTTGATCTGTTGCTCATTTGGCATTGCTGATTGCAAATGCTGTGAGGCAGGTCAAAGCTTCTCTGTGTCCCACAGACTCACAGTGTGGCCCAGCACCACGTGATGGAAAGACCACATCACCTTCTGTTTGTACAAGGGTTTTGGTCTTCCCTCTTTATACAGACTATACTCCTCAGCCCCTGGGAAACCCTGACACCAGATAGTCACAGGGTTACCCGGGGATCATGGGGCCTGCCTCAGCCCAGACAGTAGGTTTGGAGAGGGCCCCTGAAAGGAAACCAAAGGCTGGGTTAGAAGGTGTTACCCACCCTCTCATTACCCAAACCAAAGGCTGGGTTTGAAGGTATTACCCACTCTCTCATTTCTTACGCACCCCACACCCATTAACCCAGAACCACGGCTCTCCATCTCCCAATGCACAGGCTGTAGCCTCTTGTCCCCAGTGAGAGGGAACCTGGGACACATGGGGACCATCTCACCTGCTGTCACTTGGTTCTGGAGCTCCACACTCAGCCCTGGAAGAGAGTCCCTGTGAGAGATTTGCCCTTCAATCCTGAACAGCAAACCCCTCTGCAAAAGCCTCCTGAGTCTTGGGGATCCTGATAGATAAGGACTCCCCTCTCCCTTGAAATCTCATCAATGAAAAGCACAACGATGAGGGTGGTGGTCATGGTGTCTCCTCGCTCAGATGTGGAGTGTGTAGACAGAGACGATGGTCCCATCTGGGCAGGCACATGGGGTGTGGGCACTGGGAGGCTGGCCCTTCTCTCGTGGTGGCCACGTCACCAAGCCCCCAGGAAGGGGAACAACATCTCCCTGGTAGGCTGGCTGTTGTTTCTATGACAAAGCAGGAAATAGACCAGGTCCTTCCAGAGACGACCCTTGCAGATGAGGTGACCCAGAGCACGACCTCCCTGACAGGGTCTCCTTCATCTTCAGCATGTCTATCAGCACCTCCCTGTAGACAGTGCCACCCGGGCCTGGACATGCTTCAGGAAGACGTAGGTCCCTAGGGCCTGCAGAGCTCAGATCAACAGAGACACGCTCACCCTTTCCCTGTGCAGCTCAGGGCAATGTCTCTGTGACAGTGAGCACATAGGGAAATGCATGGAAATAAGGGAAGCAAAACCAGCTCTTCTCCTGGCACTGAGTGTGGGCTTTCTGTGTCTCATGGACCCCTCATGACCTTCTCCTTTTTCTGGCCACAGCAGCCACCCTCCCATTGCTGGAAGCAAGATTATGACTCACTCCTGCCTCCTCAGGGCATTGATTCTGGGGCAGAGCTGTGCCCCATTCTGTGATCCTGGCCTCTGGTCCTCAGCTTAGGGGACAGTGAGTGGTCAGTAGGGTTGGTGACAATGTTCATTCTTATTTAAATTCTCCTCCATCACCAAAACCGGTGTGGCTCAGTGGATAGACCGTCGGCCTGTGGACTGAAGGGTCCCAGGTTTGATCCAGTCAAAAGCATGTACCTTGGTTATGGGCATGTCCCCAGTGGGGGGGGGGGGGGGGAGAGGTGCAAGAGGCAACTGATCGATGTTTCTCCCTCATTGATGTTTCTAACTCTCTATCCCTCTCTCTTCCTCTCTATGAAAAATCAATAAAATATATATTTTTTAAAATAATTTTTAAAAATAAATTTTCCTCCATCATCCATGGCCCTGTTGCCTATGAGCAATAGGCATTCAATCTCTGAGCTTCCGTTTCCCCATCTGCAATATGTTGTTGTGACCCCCAACTCCTCAGAGTGGCTGGGGTTCAGGGGTTCTCAGGCCATGGGATGGATCCATCCTTGTTGATTCCCAGGTCAAATGGAGGTGAGTGGGTGGACACACAAGAGAATCAAGGTATCTGACTCCACAGTCAACGTGGACAATGGAGGAGCCCACCTAAGAACCCCCATCTGCTCTTAATGCTCAGAAGTGCTACTTATGACATTTCTGAAATGTGTACCACACTCCATCTCTATCTATACATATAAATAGGCAATGGCCGTGACGACCAAAACAACCGTTCGACCGGTCATGATGTGGCGTCAGCATAGATGCACAGACACAGGTAAAGTCTATGAGTGAACTAAGAATGAACAAGACACATGGTTGCCTTCACGGAGCTCACACCATACGAAGAAGGTTAGGTCAGGGGTGAGAATTCAGAATTGCAACCAGCGCAAACCTGAGGTGCCGCTTCTCAGAGCAGCCAGAGACACACCTGGTAGCGGATTGAGGGGACATGACAGAAGAGTTGGCGCTAATGTGAAGTCAGCGCCATTCTGGATTTCCCAGGGAAGTCAATGGCTGCCTAGGAGGCGGAGCTTTTGACATTGACTGGCATAGAAACCGACCAATCAGAACCTAATTTTGGTGAACTGCAAGGGCAGAGACTAAGGTTGGGGCTGAGGAAGGGTTTTCAGGGCAACAGCTGTTTGGTGTAAGGTGTAAGAAAGCGGTTCAGTTTTTTAATGACCGGTTTGGCAGGCCGATGCGAGGAGGAAGTTGGGAGCAATCAGTCCAGCAGGGGCAGGCAGTTAGGGGTGATCAGGCCAGAAAGCGGGGGGGAGCGGGGGGGGGGAGTAGTTGGGTTGATCAGGCCAGCAAACAGAGTGGCTAGGGGCAATCAGGCAGGCAGGTGAGTGGTTAGGAGCCAGCGGTCCTGGATTGCGAGAGGGTGAAAGCCGGGCTAAGGACCATTCCCCTCCCCCATGCATGAATTTTGTGCACCTAGCAGTTCTATAAATATATTTTAGGAACAGACAAATGCAGAAAAAAGGGAAATGAAAGTTGCCCAAAAGGAGAAGGAATTACAGGGAAAACCAGCAACAAACGCTGAGTGGTCACCAGTGTCTGAAGCCATCATCAGGTCATCACAGAGAAGAGATCCTACCCTGTGTAGACACAGAGAGGGCACCAGGTCCTCACAGGAAGGGAAGGGTCAGGGTCCAGGTGAAGGTCGGTGTTTCTGTACATGCACTGGGACATCTCTGCCCACTGCATTGAACCCATGATCAGCAGTGAGCACCTCCACTGTGTGGACACAGAGAGAAACTCCAGGTCCTCACAGGAAGGAAGGGGTCAGAAGCCAGGTGAAGGTTGGAAGCCGTGGTCCCCTGCTCCATGTTTGTATTCAGGGACTGGACCGAGCCCATGGTCCGCAGTGAGAAACCTCCCCTGTGTGGCCTGAAACAGCCCAAGTCCTGCATTGTCAGCCACGGGTGTCTGTCTCATGTGTGCCCAGGAGGCTCCCATGGGACCAGCCTTGAAGGGAAGAATCCTGAGCAGATTCTGAGTCTGAGATAGTGATTACCATGGGGTATGGGCAACTGCCATCATTTCTGCCTCGTCAGCCTGACTCCCAGGACAGCCCTGTGAGCAACCTGTGGAAGACCAGGTGTGTGAGGGGTGAGTCTAAGTAAAATAAGCCAGACTGAGAAAGATAAATATCACGTGATCTCACTCATTTATGGAATTTAATGAACAACATGAACTGATGAGCAAAAACAGATCCAGAGACAGAGAAACATCGGTCAGACCATCCAACCTCAGAGGGAAGGTAGGGGAGGGTGGGG